TYYATSTGTGTCATCCCAGCTTCGTCARATGTCCCAAAGGACTTTGACCGGGGYCGGACTAGCCATCTCCRTGTCRGTCCAATCCTAACWGATWTCCYGAAGGACTGGCGCCGACCAGCGGSCCCTCCTGCRGCCTTTCAGAATTCGCRCRKGCACCGGYCGCTGTGCTTTAATGCACGAACCCGGTCCCTCTTYTRTGGTAGATGCGTGTCAACGTTATGMAGGGGCCATGCTAATYTCCTTTGTATCGTTCCGATTTTTTAARCGGATGTCCCRAAGGACACAGCCTGGACCGTGGGGACGASTGGCCCCACGYAATTCAGGATATTTGGTTTTGCTCATCGTTCCTTCRTYTGGGTGYGAACRCYGGCCTGTACTCCAAACAGTTCATGGGTGGACCCACTGAGTTAGGCTCTTGGGGCCTGTCACACTCCCAGTGCGYCGCGTCCCAAGGTAAACGGGGCGYCGCTCCAGYGCGTCCACGAAAACAGTTGAAAATTGCACCTCAKTCAACCCCCATGGATACAACATACTCYACGCGGCCCCATACCAACCCCGGTATCGCGTCCCGAAGCGGGACGCGAGTACAAAGTGAAACTAAAACAAAAATAACAAGAGGTATATAACAAAAAATTAATAAAGAAAACGAAACGGGGGGGGGGTTCCCGTGTATCTAGCCCGCCGCAGCACCCGCCAACAAAACCGAGGGGGATAGCCCTTCCGGGACCTCGACCCCTCAGGTTTTTTGCTCCAGCTTGCTCTGCTGCAGCTGTGCCGACACCCGCTGGCCTCGATCCCGAACCTCCGTAGTGTCAGTCCAATGTCGTAACCTATAGGGCTAAGCCCAAGCCTAATATCAGTGGGCACGGATCTCCTAGTAAAAAGGTAGCCCTCGACTTTCGGGGCCAAAGAACCGCCCAATGCCACTTCTCGGCCCGCACTTGCACGCCGGCCTACCTGCTGTGCCGCGGCTACCCTTCCCTAACCGAATCCATCAGGTCCCATCATCTGGATTCTGCGTACGTCCGCACCGGCTCCCTGGACCGCCCATCGTACCCCGTGGAACCAGAAAACAACGCACTCATAGTTAGTCAGTTAAATCAAAACAAATAATTTGTTATAGCGAAGCACGCCGATCGGAATCCACGCCACATCTTCCACTGCGATCATAGGAGAGAAAAATCAACGTGCGTCTCGAACCTGTGCGCCCACACACTCTCTAATCTTACCACGCACTTAGACACTGTAACCTTCGGATATCGCTGTGTCTCGCGTAGCACACTTGAACCTTTAGACTTAGCTTACCTTCTGTCATTTGCAAAGACCAGGGCGGATACCCTTGTAAGGGTATTCGTACCGACAGCTTACCGGACCATATTAAGCGACGTCCCCGTCGCTTCGCAGGATAAAAAACTATCAATTGAACCACAATCCCACAATGCGGACGAGCAGGGTACCAATCCAATCAGCCGACAGACCCAGGGTTGAGACCTCCAATAATCCATGCCAAACACAACTTTATGCTGCCACGATTCCAACCTCGGTCTCCGCTATCCTAACGCTTGGACGTCGGGATACTCCTCACTGTACTACAGCATAAGTTCCATTGGATCTCTCACTGTCCTCTTCCCTGTGCCCTAGACAACCGCCGGCTCCTCGTTGTGTGCCCGTAGCCCTTCCCTTGAAGCCAAGTCTTGACTATGAGCGCGGACCCTAACCGAGACCTTCGAAGGCGTTCTCTCGCCTTCCTCTAAAAAATCTTCACATTAACACACGTAGCCGTACCACATAGACTCTGACATAAGTTTTCCTGCAGTCTAGTACAGAAAGACCAGGTCTCCATCTTGGCCCACCATAGTCTGGGTGATCATTCCAGATCTACGGCCCACCGCATTGTTATTTCAGCGGTAGTGCCTTCGTGGGTTGCGCCAGGATAGGCTGCTCCTGATAAGCATTCAATCAGGACTTCCTCAGAAAGAGTCATATGACTCGACTTTTATCTCACGCCTCTCCGCAGGAATAAAACCCTCCTAGGCGTTCACGCCCCTTTAAGTCTTTACTCCTTTGGCCAGACGCAGACCCTCTGCTCAGGTTGTGCCAAACAGTAGCCAACACTAAGGGTTACGCCTTAGTGATGCTAATTATACCCCTAGTTGGGTCTCTTATAAATGTCCAAGATTAGCACAAGTGGCCGGACGGTGTGTCGCAACAATACAAGCCTACTGCGAGACTACGCATAGACCTGTCGCACATAAAGGTATTTACCAGCCCCTCTGTGAGACAACAAAGAGGAAGCACGGCAACCTCTCCTCAATCATAAAACAAAATCACCGCCTTGTTCACAAGGCCGTGGCCTCTCAGCTTGATCAGAGCAAGAAAGTCACGCATCTTGATGACATCTCTTAAAACACACAACTTGCGACATCCAAAAATTCCACCAATAGTCAAGCAAAATTTGGTCCCTCTCATCAGTCTTTTATTACTCAAAGTCAGTCTTCCACTTATCAATCATATTAACCACCTTACTTATAGAGGAGGTCTTACTTCAATAGGTCTCTCAGTCATCCCTCTCGCTCTAGGATGAACTTTTCCGCGACCTTTTCTTTAACACATCTTCCCTCTCTGAAGGTGCGTCTTCCAAATAGATAATGGACAACCTTTCCATTCACGGGTGTCCTTCTTCATCATATGATCCATGTTAAAATACCAACTTATAGGTCTTTTGCACAACTCAACAATAAAATACTCATCATACAAATATTCAGGATCCTCACATCCTTCCACAAAATAGAATGCGCTTCCTTGCCTTATACTCGGCCCTCTCATCTGCTCAAGGAAAGGTCGCACGAATATACCGACGAGTAGACAGTTCACATTCATCCAGATTCACAAAGTACAAAATATATCAGGCATTTTCTCGCGCATATTCAACATCAAACCATCATCCATCAAACCAGGACCACACAAGTGAGTGTGAGAGTGATCGTCATAGACAACAAGTAGTCCCAAAAAATGTCTCGATATAATGTACACTCAGGAATAAAATATCCCACATGAAATGCCTCCAACATACACTCAGGGGCAAAACGCCTCATACACAAATGTCCCCAGATCGTAACCCTCTCAACTCACTCAAAACCACACTCACACTGATGCCATCCTCAAAGTACAAGTTGGGTCTGTCTCTCGAACATCAGGGCGTAGGCCACCTAAGTATGTACAGGCCTCATCTACCATGCCCCGGTCCTCAAGATGGCAGACTTAACAAAAACCCAACCCAAACTGTCTAACAAAAGCAAACAACACCTAGGTCTACAGAATGTCATCCAATCCTAACTCTAATCCTATACGCAACATGTCAACCATATAGGAAAACTCAGTCCTGGTCACTCATCTCCTCCTGGTTTTGTCTATATAGTTGAGCCCTACCCCCATTTGCAGATCTCTCTACTCTTCTGCCCTGTCTATCATACATCCTGCCTCCTTCCTCTGTAACCTTCCCTTCAGCCTTGTCCTTCAGGAACTTAGGACACTGCAAGGCTCGATGCTCCTCCTTTGTACAGAAGAAACAGGACGTATCGAACCACTTCCTGGACCTCTTCTTTCCTCTTTGAGACTCTGGCGACGATGGTGCTTCGCTAGCCTCCCTGCTCAAGTCATGGCTCTGAGGCATATCCAAAGGCTCCTCTCCTGTCTTCACCTCCTGGGTACTCGCCCCTGGTCGATCCTCAATCCCCCCTGGCCCGTACTCAGGTGTGCCCAACCTCAGGAGCCTGCCCTCGATGACACCCTCTGCCTCAATCCCCATCTCTCTCTCAAGAGGCTCCTCTATCCTCTGCTCAGGCGAAAACAAACTCGCCTCCTCCTGCATCGAGTGCACTGCCTCAATGAGCACGTCCATAGATCCCTCTGCTGAGCCCTGAGCCGGCTCACTGCTGGATGGTGGTAATCCCTCCTCAACTGCCAAAGGTATGACTGGGCCCGCCGCTGCTATAGGTAGCATCGCGAGCTCGGTAGGGGCTCTGAACTCGAAGGCCTCTCTCTCTGCCTCCCTCTAGGCTCTCGCCTCCTCTCGCTCCAGGATAACTCTCCCCATAGGTGGCTCCTGGCGAGTCTCTGCTGCAGATGGTTGTCCTGGCAAACCATGTCCTGGCTGCCTCTGCTCTCCCCGTCGGCTGCTCTCTGGCTTGTCCACCTCTCCCTGAGATCGCTGCCTCAGGCTCTCGATGATAGTTGCCTGAATGACCACCAATGCCCTGAGTTCCTGGATTTCCACCTCCATAGCCTCCAGGCGTACCCCATGGCCTGCTTCCTTTATCTTTTTTCCTGCCAGATCGCTCTCCAATAACAAGTGTCGGTCAAAAGTTGCCTTGGCCAGGAACTTGATTTTGCGATCCAACCTTTCTTTTGCCTTCCTTGCTACCCCAAACCCGGCTCTGGTTGGCAAAGGAAACTCCTCTCCTCTCTGCTCCCAGAAGTCCCTCCACATCTCTGGGATTTTCGAGGCCTTGGCTGGCGCGCTGGGAGGCTGACCCGAGAGCGCCCCTGCTCCCTCCACACTCTGCCTTTCCTGCTGTTGCTCTGGGAGTGCCCACACCGCCTCCAACCTTTGTCTCTCTTGCCATATTTCCTCTATCCTTTTGGTTCTTCTTGCCCTCTTTTCTTCACCCGTCTCTCCAGCTGGCGCCCTTTCCTTCGTGCGGAGGTCGACCCTCTTCGGGATTTCTGCCTCCATCTTCTTCTCGGGCTGACACGGCTCCTGGCGCGGCTCTGCGGGTGCTGACTCTTCTAGGTCTGGGTGCTCCAGGGCATGAGCTGCTAGGTGCCTGTCAATCAGGGTCAAGGCTTCTCTCCTTACAGGTGCCCTCTCTCTCCTTACAGCTGCCCTCTCTCTCCTCCTTTCTGCTCTCCCCTCTGGCGAAGGAGCCTTTTCTGATGAAGGCAATGGGGCCTCCTCTCTTTGCAACCTCTCCCCTGCCTGGCGAGTGCTCCCTGGTGCATCCCCGAGTCTCAAACCCACCGCTGGCGTTTGAGGGGGCGTGTCCTCTCCAACCTCTATCACTTTCTTCCCTGCACGTCTCCCCTCATTGCCTAGCTCTCTATCCCGGTGAGTATCCTGGACCTCCTCCTATGGCACCTCCTCTCGTGGCATCTCCTCTCGAGGCACCCCCTCTGCCTGCTCTCCATGCTCCTCACCCCGAGGCGACGCTCTCCACTGAGAGATATCCAAATGCGCCTCCAACTCCCTCAAAGGCTCCTCAGACGCTGGCGGCTCCTCCTGTGTGCGTGCTGGCGACCTCCTCAATCCACCCTCGGCAAACCGACGGAACTCCACTGGTCCCAACCCACACTCAGGGTACGCTCCTCGCTCCTCAGCCTCTGGCTCCGGCTCCGGTTCCTCCTCTCTCCTAGCTAGGGCCTTCCGTCCTCCTCGAGATGGCCTCGCCTCCCTGGGCTCTGGGTCCCTCTGCCTCTGACTCAACTGACGCCTCTCAACTCTGGGCTGAGGGGGCTCTGGCCGTCGAAAGGCCTCTCTCAGATGTGCCATGCAACTCTCCCAATCCCGGGCCATGTCTCTGACCTGCCTAGCCAGCGGTCTTTCCGCCTTCCTGGTCCAAAGTGGTAGTGTCTGCATCCAATTGTCTCTTGGTATACCCTGCCCCTGCATGAACCACTCAAAAGCGGGGATGAAATCCGACGCATTCCCGACCTCCAGGCGGATTGGCCTGCCATCAGGTCCCACAGGCGAGGGTCGCAGCTCCTGCATCCTCATCTCCACCTCTGACCTCGTCGTCACCTCCCAACGGATCCACGCGATGGGTCCCACAGGCGAGGTCCATGCCGCTCATATCCTCCTGATGCCCCCAACGGCCTCCGAGGCGACCGTGTCTCCCTCCCTCCTCTTGGAATGGTTGTCTTCGTAAAGTCAGACCTGCACAACAGGCGAAGGAGACAACAGGCACACATTAGGGTAAGCAAACAGGTGATAATCAAAGCAAGCTCAGACCAGACCACACTCATGCAGCATACAACCTATCCGACCTACATAACCTTTCGCTTCTATTCTAGAGGTAGTCAGATCATCTCTCTTACCTCTTCTCTCGCCACAAATTTCTTCAGTCGCGTTCCAGATACCCAATCCTTCCACTCAGTCCTATTTAGCTCCTCAATCTGATACGCTCCAAAGTATCCGACCCGTACGATCCGGTAGGGACCTAACCACCTCTTATCGAGTTTCCGGGACCACTGCTTTTCCAGCGATGAATCATAGAGAAGCACGACGTCCCCAACTACCAAGGGCACTTTCCTCACCCGCCCAGACTGATCCCATCAAGACTTATCATCCATACGGCTTCTCGCTACCTAATCGGACGCCTCCTGGATCCTTTCCTCTATCGCCCCCACCTGCCGAGCCCGAATATCGAGCAACTCTTCAAAAGACAAGTTGACTTCCAGATCCTGGAGCCTCCAGGTCTTAAGAAAGTTCTCGATTGGGAAGGTGGCGTGCCTTCCATACCACAGCGTCGCAGGTGCGTACTTGGTGGATCTTTTCACTGTAATGTTCTTGATGAAGAAAGCCGCCCTCAGGTACCTTGGCCACTGATTCGGCCTACCTTCGGTCCACTTAGCCAGGAGGCTCGTAATGGTTTTATGCCCTCTCTCCACGGGAGCATTTGCCTGGGGGTGCGAGGCCGTGGTGTAGTTAGCTACTACACCATACCTTGATAGCAACTCCTGCACCTCCTGGCAGGTAAACTCCGATCCCCTGTCCATTACGAATTCCCTAACGAAAGGATAACGCAGGTAGTACTCCTCGATGCAGCTAACCAAGACCGAACGAGTCTTGGTACGAATGGCACGCCCATCTACGAAGCTAGACAGGTTATCGCGCGCATCGAAGATGTAGTTATAGCCCTGATCCCCAAGCGGCATGAAAAGTAGATCGAGATGCACTACAGCCCCCACTTCTCGCTCTAGCCTTGGATGCAGCGGCTCTCCTTGCCTTAAACGAGATCTCTCCTGGCAGGGCACGCATGACCGGCAGAACTTCCCAACCATATCCATCATTCCATCCTAGTAGTACAGCTCGCTTATTTTGGCGTAAGTGGCTTGGATCCCTCGATGCCCTCCTACAATGCCATCATGGAGCGCTGCTACGACATCAATTTGACGATTCCTGCCACAGACAACTCTCCTGGGATTCCCTACTTCTCTCCTTACAAAAAGGTAGCCGTCCCGCACTAAGTAGAGCTGCAACATCCTCTGAGCCCTATCACTCGCATCCCTAAGCCGCATTTCACACGACAGAAGGAGTCCCAACTCTAGGTAGATCCCATCATACTCCTCTGCACGAAAGGCCTCCTTAATCTCCCCCTCCTCGAACTCGTCGTCCTGGCTCTCGGGCACTTCGTCCATATTCCCCGTCGGGTTCAACGAGCATGACTGGCCAAAGCTTTCCTGCAATAATGTGTTGACGAGGAGATACATTCCTCCCATCAGGACCTCATGCCGTTCTACCTGGCCAGGTCCTCCCTCAATCATCCTCATGTCCTCCACCAGTCTATGCGAGCTGGTCAGCGCTAACTCCATCATCCACTGAACATCCTTACCACCCCAGAGATCCTCTTCTTCAAAGGGTTTGAGGACTAGCTCGGCCCTCCTTTCATACCCATTCGGCGCTTGCCAGATAGGATAGCCTACGCAACTGGGCACTCGCGGCGACCACTTGTTGATGTGAAGACGAACATCTTTTTCCTGGTCCAGAAATCCATCAACTGGGGGCGTATTCTCCACCGCCTCCCCTTCCTGTTTATCCCAGTTGATCCGACTCAGTCCATCTGCCCAGTTCTTACTGCCAGAAATCCGTTCCAACTCGAAGTTAAACATCCAGATGTACGTTAGTCATCTGGCAACCGTCGGATCCGATGGAACGTAATTCCTTAGAGAGTAGGCCAAGGCGGTTAGGTTCACTCTCAAAATAAACCTCCTGCCGAAGATGTAGTTCCGGAAGATCCACAGACAGTGGAGGACGACAAGAGTCTCCCTCTTGAACTGAGAGTAGTTCCTCTCAGTCGTACAGAGAGTCCGGCTCTCAAATCGCAAGGGTCTTTCTTTTCCCTCCATGTCTGCCTGAATTAGAACTCCCCCTAAGGCAGTCGGGCCTGCATCCGTTTCAACAATGAAGGGTCGCGTCTCCGTGACATCATAATCTGGCGCTCCTAACACCAACCCTCCCTCTCGAAATTCCTCCTTCATTCTGGCCACCACCTCTTCTTGCTGTTCACCCCAAACCCATTCCTGATCCTGACGGACCAACTTCCTCAGGTGTTCAGTCTTAGCGGCAAAGTTCTTGACAAAGACCCTCCAAAATCCATACGTACCAAGGAAGCTCCGACATCAGTTATTGAGTGGAACGGAAACGGTCACTCAGTAATCTTGTCTGTCTTCTTAACATCCAGCCTTCGGCCCTTCTCGCTGCAGACGAACCCCAAGATAGCCGCTTCCCTCGTGCAGTGTCTGGAATTGGCCCCGCTCGCCATGAGGTTATGCTCCTCGAGCAGGTTCAGGACCTTTTCGAGGTCCTGGATGTGTTTCCAAACAAAGCGCCTTACCCCTGGCGAGACTTCATTGCTCTCCTGCACTGTCGGCCCCTTCACTGTCAAATCGTCGATGTATGGCTATGTGATATGAGGGCGGACTGACTGCATAACCCGAATCATGGCCCGTTGGACCATTGCTACCGCGTTGGTCCACCCTTGTGGGGCCACGTTCATATGGATTAGTCCTCGCGGCGTGTGCATAGCCGTCACCGGCCTGTCTGGCGGGTAGACCGGGAACTGATCATATCCTGAGTAAAGGTCTATAAGCGAGATTATAAGCCTTCCAGCACAGGATTCCGACAGCACGTCCGCATTGGGCAGTCCTCCAGCATCCCGCACAGCCACTGATTCAGCCTCTGCAGATCTTGCACCCATCGCAGCGTCCCGTTAGGCTTGATGATACAGAACCACGGGGATGCATACGGTCCACTCGAGTAGTCGGCGACGTGTATACGTATCTTGTCGTCGAGGTAATCCACCACCTTCTTTTCCTCGTCAGGATTAGGATATCGCGCCCCCCTCATGTTCCAAGGCTCGTGTGGCACAATGTGGATGCGGATCATAGGTATTTTGTCCACATCCAGCCTGCCACGCTCTTCGTCACTAAATGCATAGGCGCGAAGCCTCATCTTCATTAACTCCACCATCAACGCTCGTTCCTGAGGCAGCAGGAAGTCGGGCTCCCCTATAATTAACTTCCCTTCATTCCCTTCGCTGATACGACATGGTCATGCTAAAACACTCTTCCTCATTCGCCGTATCAACTCTCGTTCCCTCTCGTAGTATGCTTCCTCGTCCTCTGTAACGAGGACGGGAACCGGGCGACACTTCTTGTCTACCGTCTTGTACCGCCTTTGGGAACCTTGCTTGAGCCGTCCCCTAAAAAAAGCCGACTCACAGATTGCGCCTGCGCAGACGCGAGGTTCCTCCTTCCGTCCGGAAGACGATATACCAGCTCCAATCTCCCTGCCTCAGGGCATTCCAGAACTTGCTCAAGGCCTGGATGGCATCCGGATCCGCCATCTCATGTGCGGTCACCAAGTCCATGGCCTTCCCGACGTTCGATAGGCTAAGGGAAAACGTTTTCACCTCTTGTTCTCCTTCCGGCTCCGCCCGAAGCCTTCGGCGCTCGCCCTCCGATTCTTCGATCGTGAAGGATCCTGGGTTGGGCCGGTTCCTTATACTCCTCGGTCTTGTATTTCTGCAGGTAATTATCTCGTAATTCCCACAGGCAGGGTCACATAGGAGGAGGATCAGAGTACCGTCATGCTTGTTGAACATCACGATTTCTGTCCTACTCAAAAATGACCTTCCTATGAGGATCCTGTGGTCCACGTCCGGCATGATGAAGAAGCAAGCTCGGACCTTCATCTTTCAAACCTCGATGAGTACATTCGAGGCTGTCCCACAAAACACGGCCTTGCAGCTGGCGCCGTGCAAAATACCGCATTCAGATCGGTCTATGTCCAGCCCGAATCTGATAGCATCCGCCTCCCGGATGATGTTCATTTCCGCCCTGGTGTCCACCATTGCTGCACACTTGGAGCCTTTCACCACTAAATTCACCGTGCCGCAGGCCACGCACTTCCAATCCATTTCCGTGCCCGACTCCACCCACTCTGCCTCATTGGACAGGATCGTACCCAGATGGACGTTGGGCACCAAGCGCCACGACAACCTCCCCTTCAATTCATCGTGGAGTCGCGGGGCTGACGCCAGGATTTCCTTCAGAGTCATGAGGTCATTATGCCCTTCTAGCAGTCGGTCGATCACTCTCTCCACGTCAAACCCCTCCTCCAACCGAGCCGCATACTTCTTCCTTTTGGGCGGTCCGTCGCGCACGACCGGCTCGACCTCTTCCTTGGCTCCCTTTTTCCTTGCCCGCCGCTCCGCTCTCTGATCCTCTTCTCTGCGCAGCCTCTCGTCCTCTTCCTCCTCATTATCGTCATCCTCCACTTTCACTGCCTCTTTCCTTTTCCCTGACTCTGGCTCCCTCCTCGGAGGTTCTTGGTTGGCACTTGTCTTGGCTTGACTTCTCGTTCGTGCTGCCTGTGTCAGCCGGGCCTGCGGAGTGAGGGGTCTTCCCATCATTCCCGACTGAGGGCTCGACCCCACCATATTTACTCCGGGTCGCCTAGGCGCTGACTCCGGGCCTGAGTCATAGTGGAACACCTTGGGGATGCTAGACCTCCATTTCCTCACTTCGTCGCAGAGGTCTACCAACTTCTGCTGGTACCTTCCCACCTTGTCCAGTAGGTCCTCCATCTTCCCCAACAAGACGGATGACGGTTTCATCCTTCTTTCCTCATCCTCGTCATCCGATTCGATGATTATGGGTTCTTCCCTCCTACTTCCTCCACGTGGTCCTTGAGTCACTTCCTCGTCGCTCCCCACTTCCTCTACCCCAATTGGTGGTCCCTCCTTTTCCTGCCATAGCCTAAACGTGGCAGGGGGTGGCGGCTCGGATGTCGCCCTTCGTTGGGCTTCCGCTCTCACTCCTCCAAGCCTTCTGTCAATGGCCTCCCCAAACTGATCGTAAATGTTCCCATCCATAGTGGAAGAAATCAGCCCGGCCTTGCTGGTCACAATGCTGGCAGATGGTCGTCCTCCAGTCAAAACGGGATCTCCCATACCCCTTACTTCCTTGATCTCCCTGGCCTTGATACCCCTGGCCTTGGTACCTGTGGCCTTGGTTACTTCCTTGATCCCCCTGGCCTTGATACCCCTGGCCTTGGTACCCCTGGCCTTGATTCCCCTGGCCTTGATACCCCTGGCCTTGGTTTCCTCGGCCTTGGACATTCCATTGCCCTCCTCTTCCGCCGCCATTCCTGCCTCATCCCCTTCCTCCACCCCTCCCTCCGCTGCCTTGATTGGCCTGCCCCTGGTTCCCACCTCCAGCCATGCTTCCCTGTGAACTGGGAGCGGGTGATGGCGGCGGGGCCACAGGCTGGGCCTGGGCTGCGGGGTAGATGGGTGGCGGCATACTCATTTGTGGTCCGGCTACTGGTGGCGGGCTTCCCCATGGCACAATTGCATTGATCACTGGTCAGGGCCACTGTCCGTAGGAGGGTGCCCCTCCTTGCGAGGGGCCCGCACTAGACGATGGAGTTGCTACATTAGGAGGAGCCGCCGCCAGGGCCTGGGGCGCCTGCCCTTTTCCTGACCCCTGCCCGCCCTGCGCCATGTTACGCACTTTGCGTTGGGCCTTTGTCAGGTGCGGCGACACCGGCTCTTCCTCTTCCCAGAGCTCTCCCTCAACGACCTCTCCCACCACTAGCTCTTTTCCTTTCACCTGAACCGCCGCCACTACCTATCTCTGCACCACTGGCTCTGTCGCATACCCCAGTTGCGCCAGCATGTCTGTAACAATCCTTTTAACTCCCGGGGTCCCAGAAGCAGTCGCATCCCTTTCCTTTCTCTTCTGCCTTTGCAGGCGTACCTGACGTTGTTCCACCTGGTCCAAGCATCCAACTTCCACCCCTCTGTCAATGGTGGCCCTGGTGAGCTTGGTGCTACCCCCTCCATGCCTTGTCAATTCGACGGCCTCCGATGTTGTGAGTAGCCCCAAGAAAATGGTGCACTGCGCCTCCTCCGAAATCCCATGGACCTCTCATGCCCTCTTCTTAAATTCCTGAACAAAGACCCCTATCGTCGTAAAGTCCTCTTTGTTCATTGCCTCAAGGTCTGTGGTGGTCAACAATCCATCTCCCAAGCGGTACTTCCTCTGCATTCCTTCCTTGAACCTTTCCTAGCTACCTTGAGTCGCATCTATAACTTTCTTCACTTCCTGGTGGTAGCTGTGGAGAACATACTGAAGAATGCGCTGAAACTTTACAACATCCGACCGCCCGACCAAAGCTTGTTCCACCCGTTCTAGCCATTCCGAGACTCTTTCCCCACAAAAATGGAAGGTATCGACCTTGGGGATATTGCTCGGATTTCTTTCATGCCTGTCAATAGCCGCTCTGAGGTCATCGAGCGTCAGGCCCTTCTTGGGACCACTCGATGCGCCGACGCCCTGCGACATCTTGACAGACTCTTCTCCTCACGCTCCTTGATAAGAGAAAAATAAGCACACCCCTTTACTCAGCATTACACCTTGACCGGTCTATTCCTCCCGCTCTACCTAACCCTTACTGCATACTTTACCCAATGCTAACAAGATCGTCCCTCATAACTTCCTCTAACTCAGATAGGTAAACTTCCTCACCTATACTTAGTCCCTCATTATTTTTTCTTACCTTCTCATCATTTCTTTATGCCTTTTCTCATTCACTTCTCATACCCGGATATCGTTCCACCAGGGACAACGGTAGGCTTTTCATTATCCCCGGCAACGGCGCCACCTGTCGAGCGCATCGGTCCGGCACCGCACCAGGGCAGCGCAGGGACCCTCACGACTGCGTCACGCAGGAGTTGGTTTTAATCCTTCGTCCAAAATATATACATGGAGTTTCCACAAAGCCGCTCCGGCCGAGTGCGCCGGTCATACCTCTCGCGAGCCCCTACGACAGGATAGGGCCTACGCGAGGCACGACTTACCTCCACCTTACGGGAGTTATCACCTCCCTTCGGTGGGCGTATCCCCGCCGAGCTACCAGTCCACAATACGAAGGCTACTCGGTTGCCATCGCAGAGGTGGACCAGCCGAGGGCATTTCTCGTTCGCTGTAGCATAGGGGGTACTTGCGGTAATACGCCTATCGGGCCCGCACACGAACCGACATCTTGGGAGGCTAAAGTCCCAAGCGCGGCTTGACGTCGGTCGACTAGGACGTATCCCACACACCACGCGCACACCACTTTAACGAACACACAACAAAACATGCACACACACATACACACACAAAACGACACAACTCAAACAACGCGACAACGCTCCTAGCCCCTCGGTAACCGTCCCATAACTTTCCAATGCGGAATTCGGATCGGCGTCGCGCATGAGACTTAACATAAAACCGAGCGGACGCAGGGCTAATTCATATCGACTCGCAATGCAAGCATACACAAGCAGTCATAATGATGGCGTACTATGTAGTGCCCATAATCAAGCGGTCCCTCGTGGATCCGAGTACCGCTTATGACACTCAAGTGTCAGACTCGAAGTGTCGTGAGGGCCTAACCCTTCACGACATTGCACGGCTGAAGGAATAGTCGTGCAGCCGCCGAGAGACCTCCGGCCTTTGGTCTGAGCGTCTCGGTAGGCAAGGCAAATAGGCTCCGCGCGACGGAAAACCCCTCCCCTGCAGAGCCTAGGGCTTGGGATGTCCTGGACAAGGACCTTGAATCCCGGCCCAGGATCAACGTCCAACTAAGAAAATTATCAAGAAGCAAAGCAAAAATAAACGGAGAGGTCATCCCTGGGCCTCTCAGTCTTGCCTTCTGAGTATCCCCTTTTGTACGGGGCCCCTTAACCCATGCAGACATTCACCCTACGTACACCCATGTGTATATATATATAAAGGGGGAAGTATGTGACGATCATTTCTCACATTCTCATTGGGGTCCCTCACATCCATATGTATATATGTGATCGCATGCAACCAAATCCAGAATCTGATTCATAGCACATACCTGCAAATCACATCAACGAGTGAATCGACAACCCACCCACCACACGGAGTCAACCCCAACCATCTTCAACACTAATCCCCCTTGCTTTAGCCATGCAAGCCCCAACCTCCTGTCCAACCAACCTTAATTAAATACTCAGTACCTTCGTCAAATGACCATTGAATAAAAGTCCGGGTGAAACCATAATGAAACAATGAAATCACCAGGGCTAAAGCCTTTTAGGTTGAGTGTAGAGGGTGAGTTGAAATTGAGTCGTAAACCGACGAATCGGCAACCGACTTGTTATCAACGATAACAGATGATGATTCTCAAGGGATCGAACTGAGTCTAGTCCTGAACTTGAATCAGACGATCAAGAGGACTTGTAACACATGACAGGTCAATGTCCCAGGCTAAACCTATAAGTTTATGGAGAACAATCTTCATATCATGACCTTACTCAAAATATCCTGGTTAACTATGTCTAAGCCTACCTCTAAGCAACATGGCAAAATCTTCCCTTAGTCAGAGTGGACTTATAAAAAACCTCCACCTGTCAAAACATAATCGATTTCCTTTAAGCTAGGAAAATTTCGGCGGCGCTTCCCGAAGGAAAAGTGTCTTTCCAGAATTTATCTAAGTCCAGATATGAAAGGCAGAAATAATTTCTAACTCCAAAGAATCAAAATTATGTCTAACTTCCCGAAATAGCACAAATTTGGGCAGCAGTCCCTTTAGAAAGGGAGGATTTCCAGATTTGTACTAAGTCAGATACAAAAGGCAGAAATAATTTCTAACTCTGGAAAGTCAAACTCTGTCTAACTTTCTGAAATAGCAGAAATTTGGGCAGCACTCCTTTTAGAAAGGGAGGCTTTCCAGATTTATACTAAGTCAGATATGAACTCGAAAGACAGCTCGAGTTCAATTTTAGACAGAATTTAATTGAACTCTTTAATTTTGTAGAAATTTCGGCAGCATTTCCTCTAGAAAAGTGTTATGCCAAAATTTATACAAGGCTAAGTTCAGAATTTGAAAGTAACTTTGACTTCCCAAGTTCAATTTTGTCTAACTCCCTGGATTAGCAAAAAATTAGGCAGCACTCCCACTAGAAAGGAAGACTTCCCAGATTTTAACTAAGTCAGACACGAGAAAAGACAAAGTTGAACTTTTGACAAGTCAAAATTCAACTAACTCTTTGGATTTGTAGAAATTTCGATAGCGCTTCCCGTAGAGAAAGTAGCTTGCCAAGATTTATACAAAGCCAAGTATAAGAAAAGATCTCAGAAAATGCAAGAATTGACCTAAGTAAAAAAAATTGTTACAGAAAATGTAGGAATTGACACTCATATGGCTCTAGCACGTGGCGAGCAACTAAAGCAACTCCCTATCAACCTGAAACTCAGACTAAGTAGTGGCCTCACTCAGTCACATGCAAGTCATACCACAAAGGTAAGTACTCTCGCCAATCCCAAGTTAACCTGGACAAACAATAGTTCATGATCTTTCAATGATTTAACCCATTATACCCAGCTTACATAAGGTATAGGTCAGGCCGCCTGAACTTACAGAACAACTCAACTTAGCCAAGCCTAGAGTCAGAATACCTAAACTTATAGAGCGTTCTGACTTGGCCAAATATACACAAACAGAGGACACAACTACTTTTCTCTTCTTTGGGCACATGACTAGACCACTCTAGTCGTCCTGTTCTGTTTAAAGTATCCAAGTTTTATATACTTATCTTCATCTTCGTCTTCTAAGGCTGCATATGACAGAACTAACTTAAGTTCAGCCTGCCCCAGCTTACCACCAATTTTATTCTTTGTTATACTCTGTTCAAGTTGTGATACGRCTATGGTMAGACCACCTAAACTTATAGAACAGTCTGATTARCTYRTTCTTAAATARAATAGTAATAAAGTATAGCCAAGTTATAACCATTGGKTTTCAGCATGTGCGAGGCTTTAAGCCAGACCCYCTGAACTTACAGAAGGGTCTAACTCTCTGCCAGATTCATTTTTATCTGAGCCATTATGTGTGTGGTATCGAGTCAACCCCCCTGAACTTACAGAAGGGTCTGCCTCTTTGCGAAGATTATTTCTTCAGAATAAAGAGCAAGAAGAGACTGAGCCACCTGAACTTACAGAACAACTCSGTCTCCTCGTTCAGAAACCAAAGAAACAAGTAAAATCCCAATGAAAACAAGGCAACCCAAGGCACCAAAACTTATTGAGCGCCCTGAGTCCCTGAAAATCAGGCACAATCAAACCCCTCATAGATCAGAGCAATCAGGCCACCTGAACTTACAGAACAGCCTGACCCTCCATGCAAACCATATCACTGGGTCTCCCCAAACTTATGGGGACATCCCACCCTTCAGAGTAACCAGACCCCCTAAACTTATAGAAGGGTTTGACTCCTCCATGCAAAACAAAAATAAAACAAAGCACTGGGGTTCCCCAAACTTATGGGGACTCCCCAGCCTGAACGGTCCGTCAACCATCATGCAAATCAAACCCCCATCCTGCCTTTCCCCCAGATGCAGTTCCTTTTCACAGTCTGAGTTCATACAAACAACAACGCTGAAGCTGAGACTTCACAAACATTCCTTTACTTAGTCTGGTTCAATCTCCTGAAGTCAAACCAAAAATAAGATAGGGCTGCATACCATATATTCAGTCAGAGATGCATCAGGTAGTACAAATAGGGGCTATAGGGTGGGTGTATAGAGCGAAACGCAAAGGTTACCTGTCAATTCCCTGCCTCCAGAGCCTCGCCTAGGCTCCGGCAGAGCTCCCGCAATCGGTGGGTGGACTCCCCACAGAGTCTTGATGCGGTCCTACGGGTTGCAATCCCGCATGCCGCCTTCCCCTCAGAACAGGACTAGACTTAGAATAAGAAGGGTAGAAGTAGAAAGTTTTGAGACTCTCAGGTCCAAGAGAGGTGCTCTCAGACTCGCGTGAGAGGGCCTTGTTACCTTCACTCGCCTGAGAGCCCCGCAATGGTGGCCAAAACGCACAGTCTCCAGTCAATCCGAAATCAAACTGCCGGCTGCCGACCCAATGACGACCCTCCAGAGCGCAGCAACACCCCTTTCTCAGGACAGTCTTCGCCACACTACAACCTTAAGGTCAGGGAGAAGTTCTCAATCGGTCAGTTTTTACGATTACCACAGCGATACGCAGCAGGCTCGACACGCCCACGACTACTCCTCATGCTGCAGTAACGGCACTACATCACTGGTCCCCAAGTTTTCCCCTCTTGTAACTAGTGTACCGCTGCTCCGTTCAGCGGCCAGTACTAATTGTCCGGTAAGTCTGTAGTCTTACAGCCAGCGTTGCCGTTACCCTCAACTCTTGACTCCATCCTTCATTGAATGTCGGGCTCGCCTCGGCCCACCGGATGCAGCGTCGAACTCGTGAAGTAGAGTACAAAACAATGCAGTCAGAGCACCAGCCTTGCTGGTTCTAGCCAGGCTTCCGGACCAGCAGGCCGGCAGCCGTGGCGTGGGGCACAGGGCACTGGCAACAAGGCCACCAACCTGGGCACGTTAGTGGCAGCCCCGGT